GATTGTTCCAATAATTGATTTTATTATGAGTTGTTTCTTTCTCGATTTCGAGTCTTTTATCTTTCCATACAATCGTTGTTCTTGCCGCATCATCTAAATCATAACATTTTTCATTCCTATTTCGTTTTTCAAAATTTGGTCTTATTTCATCTTGTTCATTATCCGTAATTTCAACAAGCATCGCTTCCGTTTTTACGTTATCAATAAGGTGAAATTGGCCTTGTGTTCGACCTTGAATATACTGAAACCCTTGCTTCTCTAAACACTTGAAACTCTCATCGATTAACGCTACAAATTGCATTACTCCTTTTATCGGTTTAGTATTTTGTGTCTTTATTAACCCTCTTAACTTTTTCCTTAATTCAATAACTTCATGTTTGGATACTCCATCTGTTCTTTTAACTCTAATCATTATTAATAAAAAGAAATATTAAAAAAAAAGAAATTTTTTTTTTTTTTTTTTTTACTTCCGAATAATGTTATATGTAACAAACTAATTTTTTTTTTTTTTACAAATAACTTGGAAATGCTAATATTTTAATGACGTTTTACTCCTATTCCCGGTAAGCTAAATCTAATAACATCATTATACTACGTGTTATTAACGATATTATTAATATTTATGATTACATAAAATAATTTTGTTCATTTCTTCAATTCCTTCGATTTGAGATTTGATGTAATATGTAATATATAGTTCATTCTGTAATCCAACTCAAATGCGTCTTGAAAAGATTAATTGTATTAGAAAATAACATATCTTTAAAAAAATTAATAATTTAAAAAAATATAAAATGACCAATGTTGTGTAAACTCTGAACTTTGGTATATTAATTTTTATATTTTCCTTAATTCTATATTATTATTTTAAACAAATTTTGTTTAATAAAAGTTGGTTTAATAAAAGTTGGTTTAATAAAAGTTGGTTTAATAAAAGTTGGTTTAATAAAAGTTGGTTTATATTTATATCAATATATTCAGATTTCAAATTAAAAATAAATTAATATCTGTATACTGTAGAATTGTTAATTATAAATAATTTTTAATTTATTTGTTTTAAATAATTTTATTACAAAAAAAATAAAATAGTTTTAATAAACATAAAATTATTAAAATTTAATTACAAAATTTTACAATTAATATACCAGTAGATTTATTTTATTTTATTTCAAATTTATAAATCTGTAAATTTTTAAAATATATACAAATTTTTAATATTTTAAAATTTATAATTGAATTTTAATAATTTATATTTATTCAATTGTTTTATAAAATTAAAATATATATAAAAGATTAAAACAAATATTAGGTTATAGTAACTATTTTAGCCAAATTTCTTCTGGGCTAGCTAATTTAAATTATAATTTTTATAATAATTATATATAATTTTTTTTAAAAAATTAGTTTTAATTTTATAAAATATACTGTATATATACCGTATATTATTATTTTGAAATATTATATTTATAACACCCATGTTATATAACACCCTATATGTTTTATTTAGTGTTAGGGTCCGGTTTTAAGATATATAGAAATTTTTTATTATACAATATATATAGATATAAGGTCATAATAGGTCCCGATTTCAGTTTTCGTGAGGTTTTCAGGGGCATTAATCATTTTTACTTAGAGCACCTACACCTGTTTTCTTAGTATGTTTTTGAGATATAGCATTAGAGTATTATATAACATGGTGTTATGAATATAATTTTCCTATTATTTTTTAATATTATTAAAAAAGTAATACAGTATTAATAAATTAAATATTTATTTATAAATTATATAACTTATTTACTAAAATCTTATATTTACTATAATTTTTATTAAAATTTTAATAATATAATTATTTAAAATAAACAAGTATATATCAGTTACCCAATATATCACAGTATAAATTTTTGTATATATAGTATAGAACAGTATAAGATATCTAATTTGTTATAACTTTTTTTAAAACAAGTTAAAATAAAAATTTCTCTTTTAAATTTATTGTTTTTGATTTAATTAACAAATCTGAAAGAAGAATTTTCAAAATTTTTGATTTTAAAAAAATAGTTAGGGCAGTATCATTTATCACCTAATTTTTTTTTATCAGAGGCTTACTCCCTCCCTCTTACTATATATAATAATCAGGTTTTTATATATAATTTTAAATTTTTTACCCCTTTTCCCCTAAAAAATCACCTGATTTTTGTCACATCTCTTATAATTTAAAATTTATAAATTTGACATGTATACAGAATTTTAAGAAATTTGATTGATTAATATTTTTTTTTTACTATTTTTATCATGAAATTTTTTTTAAATTTTGGCATATTGGATATCTTATACTGTTCTATACTGTATAAAATTATATAGATTATATATAAACTTTATTGCAATAATGTTTCTTCTCTTATATATAAACTTTATTGCAATAATATTTCTTCTCTTACATATAAACTTTATTACAATAATGGTTCTTCTCTTATATATTAATTTTAAATTAAATTTTACAAATAAATATATCAAAAAAAGGAAAATAAAATACTTTCTAAATCAAATTAAAATTTTACAATTTTGACATAATTTAAAAATATAAATCTATCAAAAGAAAAAATTTAATAGTTTTAAAGTAATAAATATATATGTAAAATTATATTCTGAACAACTTTCAGTTAGAAAATAAAAAGGTTATCTTAATAAAAAAGAGTTTTCTATATACTAATATCAAAATTTTCAGTTTTTTTATATAAAAATTTTTTTTTGCTTAGATAACCTGTTCTGATCTCTTAAGCAAATTTGTTTAACACATAATTCTATATATTTTATATCTTATTGAATTTATTTTTTTAAACTTTTTACTAAGTAAAAGATTGGATCAAAGATTATACAATCAAACCTCTCTATAATTACATCCTTGGTTTTAAAAATTTGGTGCTTATAAAGAGTTTGTACTTATATAGAGGTTAAATTTTATAAGTGCTATATAAGTTGGTTTTAAAAATTTATGTGATTATAAACAAATATGACTATAGAGAAGGTGACTATAGAGAGGTTTGACTATACAAAAATTTTTTTGTATAACTTTTAAACCAATCTTTCATTTAGTAAAAAGTTCAAAAAAATAAATTCAAGGGTGTGGTGATTTAGTAAAATGGTAAAGTTGTTACATCCTCAAGTGGTTGAGTACAAGTTTAATTCTCACTAAAGATGAAAATTAAATTTAAAAAATGGATTTGGTAACTATTGTTATGGCTAAGAAAACGATTGTATGGAAAGATAAAAGACTCGAAATCGAGAAAGAAACAACTCATAATAAAATCAATTATTGGAACAATC